TATCTATCTATCTATCTAATCTATCTATCTATCTATCTATCATCTATTCTATCATTTCTGTTCCATCTGTTATACTCCCGTTGATAATATCTGTGTGAGTAATTTTACACAGAGTATTAATGGCCCTGCAAATCAACAACTGTTTCATCAGAATAAGAGTTTGTGGTTTAAGTTGGGGGGTTATAAATTTCCCTGCCTGATTATTACAGGTTGAAATAAGTTTATTTTTTTAAAAAAATCTGCCTATTCTGCAAATATGTCCATTTTGCTTCACAAACAAGCACTTTCTTGGGAACCTGCAGGATGCCAAACACCTCCAGCTGACCAGACCGAAACTTGTACACCACATTGCGAAAGAAACCTTTTTTCTTCATCTTGAAACTCCTATTTGAAGCACCATAAATTACAAACAGCTTTAGGTGAATTGAAAAGTCTGTAAACATTCACAGCAAGAGAGAGAGAGAGATTTTGTGAATCGATTTGCAAGTTTTTATAGCAACCTTTAGCACTCATAGTGTCCATTTTGAGAGGTCTTTACGTTTCCTAATTTCTGTACACCTGCTAGATTTGCAACATACAGTGTGCTACTGGCTGAAAGCAAGTAGGAATAAGGTGCTTTTTCAACGGGCAACTGGACTTTCTTGTCATCCTGAATACAGATGACATGGCCAAGGTAAACAGTCTTCTGAAGGACACTTCCACGCATGAGACTCTGAAGAGAGATCTCACTAGCAGTTACAAGAAAAAGGGCATTGATTTCTTACAACACCTACTGAAGGACAATGCCATTGACAAGCCATAATACAACCATCTTTAATCCTGGGGAAGCCACACCATGCATGTAAGAGACTCCCCAAAATCCACAAAGAGGGAACCCACTCAGACCAATTGTCAGCAGCATCAATACTGCAACACATTTAACCACCTTATTAGCTCTTCTAGTTGGCAACACCACCCATCGCATCAACAATTTACAGGATTTAGCCAGGAAGGTTTGTAAACTAAAATTGGAATTGGAAACCACAGTTTCCTACGATGTGACTTTCCTCTTCACAACCAGAAAGCCTCTTGAAAAAGCACCTTTGGGACAACCATGACCTGGATGGCTGAGAATCTCCATATCATGGCCCCTGTTAGAATCTGACTCCGAGGGAGAGGAGGAACAGCCGACAGGGAGTGGGAGTGTGGCTCTGGAGGTTGTGGAGGAAATTGGGGAAGGGCACAAGCCAGCTGGGCATTCAGAGGAAGACCCAGGCCCATCCCCTCTTCATCCTAGGACATGCATGGAGGAGCAGATAAGGGAGAAACGTGAATGGCATGGTCTATGGGGAGGAAAGGGCCTTGATCCCCTTCATGGGCTGCAGCTGTGAGGACTGTTTAAAAGGACAAACTGTGCATGGACCAGTGCTGGAAGCAAAGCGTGAAATAATTCGTCTTTCAGTTCTTATCTGAGTTCTGGCATGCTTCCCAGTGTGTGTATTTTGATATCTGTGGATGCTTTCAAGCCCTTATCCTGCCTTGTCTTATTAATTGCTTCAGTGTGGTTTGTGTTGTTTTTTCTAATTATAATTTATCTGTATTGTGAGTTTGAATGGAATTTCTTCCTTTTGGCAACTGTTTGTGGGGGAGTTTTTTCTCCAGTCAATGATAATTGGACCTTTGAAGCCAAGTGGAAGGAATTAAAGGGACTTCACCTGTTTTTGTGACTTTGTTGCTTTTGTATCCCATCCTGGGTCATCACACTCCATAGGCACGTAGGAATAAGGTGATCTACCATGGTTTTCCACCATTCAGATTTGGAATGTTACATGCAGCTTGTTGAAAAACCTATCCAGGTCCATCCAATACAGATCACCCCTTCACTCATTCTGAATTGCTTGAGCTTGGTCATCAAGCATTTGACACAACATGTGTTGGGTAAGAGGTTAGTTGTAAGTTCAGTCTAAGAAAAGTTCCTTAGAAGAGATGCAAACTTTGTCAAGGGTTGCTAAACAATCATCCCTCAACCAGGGAGTCTTCAGCTATGACCTGAGAAAGCTTGAGAAGTTGCTTGCTCAATGTTCTCAACGAGTGTGCATGGTTTACACAACACCTAATTCCATTATTAGACCATAGAAGTAAACATGCAAAAAGTCATAGCCCCATACTGATAATCCGATAATTTGGACACAAGATAGAATTTTATTTATATCTTTAATCATTAAATTTAAGACCCTAGAAGGAGTGCAGAGAAGAGCAGCAAGGATGATAAGACGACCGAATCATACAATGAACAGTTGAGGGAAGTCAATGTGTCGAGTCTAATGACAAGAAGAACTAGGGGTGATGTGATATCAATCTTCCAATACTTGAGGGGCTCTTCCAGAAAAAAAAAGGGGGGGGATCAACCTGTTTTCACCCAATGGCAGGACAAGAAGTAACAAATGGAAGATCATTAAAGAGAAATCCAACTAAGGAGAAATTTCCTGAAAGTGAGACCAATTAATCAATCAATCGGCCTGTCTTCAGAAGTTGTGGGTGCTTCATCTCTGGAGGTTTTCAAGATGAGATTGGACAGTTCATTTGTCCAGTATAGTATTATAGGCACTCCATGCTGGCTCAGGAATTCTGGGAGTTGAAGTCCATAAAGGGGGCCATAGTTCCCCACCTCCGCTTTGATTCTTGATGAATGTATCTTTTCTTTTATGTACACTGAGAGCATTTGCACCAAGACAAATTCCTTGTGTGTCCAATCACACTTGGCCAATAAAGAATTCTATTCTATTCTATTCAGGGTTGTCTTTTCAATTCTTATTTTATATTGCATACTAAGAGTATCTTGAAGAATATGGTAAAGGTTAAGATGGCAATCATGGTGATACGACTGAAGCTCTGTCCTTTTCATAGGTCCATTGCTCATTGGTCCATTGCACAGGTGACACAAGTTTTAAAAAAACTCAGCAATCAATTGCACTGTTAATTGCCAGGTTGGCTTTTTTTAATATCACATCCTGCAGCGACCACCTGCTACATCATTTATGAAGAGTTGGCCTCTCATCCATTTTGTCCTATTGAGGTTTTTACTTCCTTTATTCTGGATTATCTCTCTCTCTGACTCTCTCCTTCCTCAGTACTGAGGCCAGTGGCATTCATTTTGAACACCTCACGTATGACACATTGAAACAGCTGAGGAAACTTTTACTGAAAGTGTGACTTGTTGACTGTCATGCTCCATTGAACAGGTTGCTCAGCTAGTGACACGCTGAATGCTGTGCTGAGCTGGTGTTCATTTCAAGGAAGGGTGCAAGGAACAATTTCTACCAAGGGCTTATTACAGGAAGTTCTTTACTTACAGCCATTTTGTGACCATTCAAAGTTACAACAGCACCGAAAAAGTGACTTATGGCAGTTTCCCGCAATCAGAACCATTGTGGTCATGTGATCAAAATTCAGGGGCTTTGCAACACGTGTGCGTTTACGATGATTGCAACAACCTGGAGTTACATGATTGCCAGTTGTGACCTTCCCAGCTGGCTTCCAACAAGCAAAGTCAATGGGGAAAGGTGGATTTGTTTAATGACTGCGTGATTCACTTAACACTTGCAGTGATCTGCGTAATCGCCATGGCAAAAAAGATCATAAAATCTGGAGTGAGTTTACTTAAGGACCACTTTGCCTAGCAATGGGAACTCTGCTCCTAGTTGTGGCCACGAGTTGAAGACTATATTGGCTGCCAAACAGGTGAAATGAAAATGCAATATTGTTAAGTTGCCTTTTTCCATTTCTCAAACCTCTGAGCTTCAGACCAACTGCACCCACATTTTGGTCCCCACACTAAAGAAGGATGTTGAGGCTGTAGAAAAAGTGCAGAGAAGAGCAACCAGGATGATTAGGGGACTGGAGACTAAAACATATGAGGAACGGTTGCAGGAACTGGGCTTGGCTAGTCTAGTGAAGAGAAGGACCAGGAGAGACATGATAGCAGTCTTCCAATATTTGAGGGGCTGCCACAGAGAGGAGGAAGGGGTCAAGCTATTTTCCAAAGCACCTGAAGGCCAGACAAGGAATAATGCTTGAAAACTGATCAAAGAGAGATTCAACTGGGAAATAAGGAGAAACTTTATGATAGCGAGAACAATCAACCAATGGAACAGAAGTTTCCCTCAGAAGTTGTGGGAGCTTCATCCCTGGAAGCTTTCAAGAAGAGATTGGGCTGTCATCTGTCAGAAATGGTGGAGGGTCTCCTGCTTGGGCGGAGAGGGGGGGGGTTGGACTAGATGACCTACAAGGCCCCTTCCAACTCTGTTAATCAAATCTAAAGTAAAAAAGTCGGCTAACTGAAAAGTGAGTTGCCTCGGGGCGAGTTGACTGAAGCTGTCCCATTCTTACACTTCCAGTGTCTCGCCCGCGGCGGTGTGAGTGGGTGGGGAAGCGGGGCGCATCGATGGCTTCGGGGCCTGGCGGCTGGGACCTTCACCCCCACCCCTCGTTTAGCTTCCCCACCCCACTTCCACGCTCCGCCTGGGTCTCTGTGGAGCGCAAAACCGCGCCTCACGCCTCAGCCGCCAGAGCTCCGGCGGGTGGCCGGGCGGGCGGGCGGGCAGAGAGAGAGAGAGAGAGAGAGAGAGAGAGAGAGAGAAAGCGAGCGCGCACGCGCCTCCTCGCCCGCTCGCCCTCCCGCCCGCTCGCTCGCTCCCGCGGCTTCTGAATGGAGCCGAAGCCGCCAATGAGCCGGCGGGCTGGCACTCCGCGGCCCCGCCCACTTCCCTTTTGCGTCACGGGCCGCTTCGATGCGCTCCCAGGAGTTTGGCAGAAGCGCCGGCAGATGGTGAGGGCGGCTTGGGCGCGCTCGGAGCTGCTGTCGGGGGGCCCCCAGGAAGGGATGCGCTCCAGCCCGGACGGCATTGCCCAACGCTCGCTCACCCGCGCGGCTGCTGCTGCTGCTGCTCCTCCTTACCTTTGAGGCGGACGCGGGGAAAAGGAGAGCGGCGGCTTGAGGCGGCGGCCGGTGAATCAAGCCGGGAAGGAAAAAAAAAAAAAAAAAGGCACGGAGAGCCCGCTCGGCCCCCTGCCCATCGCTTCCCCGAGCCCGGCGCGGCGCCGTCCGGCTTCCTTGTGGCGCAGGAGTTCGAGGTCCTCCTGCCTGCTCGCCTCCCCCGCCGCCTTCCAGCTCCATGAGCCGCCAGCTGGAACCCCGCAGCCCCGCCGCGCTTCTGCACTCGCCGGCGGCCGCTCCCCGCTGCCGGAGCGCTCCTTCCAAGCGCCTGCTTTTGCACGACGCCGCCGCCGCCGCCAGCGAGGAAGCGCCGGCCGCCGCCAAGTGCGCCCGCCTGGCCGTCGATTACACCAGCGCCGTCCCTCAGGATTGTCTCAGCGCGCCCGGATCGCCTTGCGCTCCGGTTCCGCCGGCTCCTGCCGGCGAAGGTTCGCTTTCCAGCGCCCAGGGACCCAGCTTGGTGGCCGGCTACCTTTTGTTACCCTTGCTCGACCGGGAGCACGTTTCGAGGGCGCTCGACATCAACACCGGCCGGGAGCTGCGTTGCAAGGTAAGCCGGGGAGGTGGCGGCCGAAACCCGGCGCCATCCGGGAGCCTCTGCAGCCTTCTTCGGGGCTTGGGATTTGCAGCCGGGCCGGGGCAGGACAGGGCAGAGCGACCTTCCTTGGGGAGGGGTGGGGTGGGGGGAGACAAAAAGCGCGGCGCTTCTTCCACTTGAATCATGGAATAACAGAGTTGGAAGGGACCTTGGAGGTCTTCTAGTCCACCCCCCGCCCCCCCCCGCTCGAGCAGGAAAGTCTATATATACCATTTTCGGACTTGAATGGGACTCGGTTTAAAGGCGGCCGTCATGAACCGCCTCGAATATCCGGCGTTTCAAGGGCAAAAGCTGGATCGGATGTTGTGCATCACAAAGCGAAGATCTGACTTGAAAAAAAAAAAAAAACACCAAGCCGCCGCGTTTTCTTTTAGGACAGCAAGTAGCGTGCTGGATCGGACGGGTGTCTGAGCAATTTTGTGTGTGTGTTTGTGTGAATGGGAGAAAAGAGAAGGGTCCCCGAAAACTGCCACTCGAACCCCACGGGGCTCCCTTCTTGCCCTTTTGCTTTTTGAAAAGAGGGCTTTAAAAAGCAAAAAAACAAAACCCCACAACAACCCAGATCGCCTATGACCGGCAGAGGAAACCTACACCTGAAAGCCGAGAAGGCATCGATTTGGTGCCGGGATCGGGACAAAAGAAGGTCTCGGGAAAGATAGATATCTATTTTTTAAAAAAAACCTTGCAAAAAGCGATGCCTTTCTTAATTTCCTAATTGGGGACCCGATTCGGCTGCGCTGCGCTGCACTTTGCAAGCGCCGATTTTGGCCCAGAAATGTATTCCCCCCCCGCCATCCTTGCAAGAAAAGAAGCGGATCCCCGGTGGATGCGTGTATTGTGTGTGTGTGTGTGTGTGTGTGTGTGTGTGTGTTTAGCTGCATTCGGGAAAGGTACCCTAAGACTATCATTAAGTGTTGTACCTTATTTACTCTTGACGAATGCATCTTTATTTTTTTAAATGTACACTGAGAGCATTTGCACCAAGACAGATTCCTTGTGTGTCCAATCACACTCGGCCAAGAAAGAATTCTATTTCTATTCTACCAAGGTCCTGGGAGTAAGGAAGGGTTTAGGTTTCCTCCGTCATCCTCCTCTTGTTTTCCGCTCCCCTCCTGCAGCCTAGTACGCAAGCAGGAGTTGGACTGCCACTAGCAGCGGAGAGAGCTTTCCAAGTTTTCCATGAGGTGTCTCCTCGGCTCTTTAAATAAAACACGCGCTCTGCCTCCCCGGCGCTTTCTCGCTGCCTTGCCGGGGAGAGAAAAGGAGGCCGAGGCTGCAGCCCTGAAGTTTCCTGCTGCCACCTGGTGGCCTCTCCGGCCTGCTTCCTCTCGCTGCAGAACCGTTGGAAACGAATAGGGAGCTGCTGCTCCTGAGTTCAAAGTCCACGGTGGAATACTTGTTGTGATGCAGGAGAGGGTGAAAATCAAAACTGGCTAACCTGCTGCCGAATAATCGACTCCCTCTAGCAAGGGGTTCCCCCCAAACTTAGCCATTTTTAAGACTCGTGAACCCCAATTCCCAGAATCGCCAGCTGCTTGTGCTTTTAACTTTTAAGAGATGTGGCCTGGCTGGGGAGTTCTGGGAGATGAAGTCCACGAGCCTTAAAAATGGCCAGGTTTGGAGATCCCTGCTCTAGAGCAGTGTTTCCCAACCTTGGCAACTTTAAAGATAGGTGGACTTCAACTCCCAGAATTCCCCAAGCAGGTCTATACATCTTAACCAAAGTTATTTAAGCATGGGGGCTGGGGATTCTGGGAGTCGAAGTCCACACTTCTTAAAAGTTGCCAAAGTTGGGACACTCTGCGCTAGAGTCTTTAGGCCGTTGGCCTCCCCTTTGTAACCTTCTGCTTTTCTCCTGCTTCTAGAAACAGCCTAAATATACTTAGAGCCCCGTTTGGAATTGCACGCTCCTCCTTAAAGTGTAGTTACTAGCAGGCGTGCCTCCGGTTAGGCTTTTAAGTTGCCAGATGGACTTCCCTGATACACCTTGCAATCTACATTCTAACATAGTATAGATAATAATAGAGAAAGGAGAAGAAAAGGAACCTAAGTGGGTGGGTAGAATTCTTTTTTTTTTTTTAAGTTGGATTCGGAGTCTGGAGACATTGCAGTGGCTTGTGAATCTTTGAGAGGATTGCCCGTCCTGGCTTGCAAACTCTTCCTCAGCAATGACCTGTGGGGAGAATTGCTCTTTTCCAAGTCAGGAAAATCATCTCATCCTCTTGAAATATTTATTTTTAACCTCTGCTGGGTTTGCAAGGAGGCTGGCGTAGCCTAGCGTGGCTTCAGCTGTATGGGGGACGGAGTTCTGATAGAGAAGAAGACTTCAGTGGTGGCCGTGTGCTGGTCAAGAGAGAAAGTAGCCAGGAAGTAGAGGGCTGTGGGTGATTGTTTGGAGACCCTTTTGCAATATATTTTTCTCTCTGGGAGCTCGAGCCAAGTTGGAAGACTCACCGTTTCCAGCTTGGCTTAGGATGTGAGTAAGCTCTTCGCAAGTCCCAGGACATGACTGCAGTCTTGCAAAATATCTGTGAATAAAGCATGAGAGCTTTAATCCCCTTCTTCCTTGCCTAAATGTTTGCTGCGCTTTGAAATTTCAGCTCGGTTGCCTTCACCTTTGTTTGACTCACTGGGAGGTGATTGCTTTGGTGGCTTTTAATAGCTCTTCAACCCCCCCCCCCCCAACTTGCCACAAACACACCTCCCCTTCATTTTTCCTTGACACTCTGAAGAAGGGAGCATTACTGTACATTACTGTTCTGGCAGGGAACTGCCGTGCCAGTGTTTATAGTGAGTGTGCAAAGATTCAGGGCTCAAGTGCAAAAAGCAGGAATTGCAGATATTTAAAAAGTTTATTAATATTAATATTGAAATATTAAAAGCAAAGGGCTGTGATGTTTATTTAAGCGGTGTCTGGAGAGATGTATCCAAAACAATATGGTACATCAGAACTGCTTTGCCAGATTAGATCGGGTATGATTTCTATATGGTACTATGTTTCCCGTAGGATACTTCTTGTCCTTGTTGTGGAACTAAGACTTTCCTTGCTGTCTTTGCTAAGTGTTTAATGCCAGATGCTGTACAGGCAGAAGTTCTCTCTAGCTCAGGAAGATCCTTATGTACCTCTAAGAGGTGGTAATTTCCAAAACCTAGCAACCCAAGACACCATGCAGATCTTGGGAACATGATCAGTTTGGTAGATGGCACCCTCTCTTTCAGCTACTTGGACTATTGTGATTCCATCATCTTCCCAAAATGAATTCCCCTTCCTCGTCTAAGGATCGTAGGCACAGAAACAAAAATGCATCTTACTTCCATTGCCTGTTCTAGGAAGTGTATAATTCTTCCAAAAGCTTGATTTGTCTCTTTTTCCATGTTTTTTGGTTTGGATCATAGCCACTTTTTTAAAGTTGGCACCTTCTGCTATCTCCTCTTTGGTGGGTGATTTAATGGCGAGTCCCAATTTACTAATAATTGTGAGAACATGGTTTAATGAATGTAGATATACTGATAGAAGAGAATATTTTTTAACTCAAGATTAAACATGGGGTTTTGGTGCTGTTTTCTTGTAGACATTTCATTAACCCCACTTAGGTAACGTCATCAGCGCTAGAAGGGAGCGGGGTTTCTAACAGAATCCTGATGATATTTTGTACTTAGGCAAAGAATTATGTACAAGAAAGCAACCAAGCTTAGGGAGCACCAAGGACACCCCACGACTGCAGATATTTTGATCAGGATCCATCAAGGATTGGTCCTTGCATCCTCCAATAAAATCTTACTTAATCTCTTTTCTCTCTCTCTCTCTCTCTCTCTCTCTCTCTTTCTACCTCCCCACTTGTTTCTATCTCTAGGTCTTCCCTCTCAAACACTACCAGGACAAAATCAGGCCTTACATCCAGTTACCATCACACCGAAACATCACTGGGATTGTGGAGGTCATCCTCGGAGACACGAAGGCGTATGTCTTTTTCGACAAGGACTTTGGTGACATGCATTCCTACGTTAGGAGCTGCAAGCGCCTGCCGGAGCAGGAAGCCGCTAGACTCTTCAAACAGATTGTCTCTGCAGTGGCTCACTGCCACCAATCAGCCATTGTGCTGGGGGACCTCAAACTCAGGAAATTTGTGTTTTCTAATGAAGAAAGGTGAGCGGATGGGCCTACGGGATGGTTGGCTTTCAGGTCTCTCTCCAAAGAGAATCCTCAGAAGATGTGTTCCCAATTGCCACGTCTAATGCTTAACTATAGCCTTTGTGGGGTTTTTTTTTGGTTTTCATCACTGGGCTGGATTTGGCCCATGGCCAGCCAGTTGCTTACCCCTGCTGTGAATCCTATACCAGTTCTCTGTATAAAATAGGTCTCTTTAGGATGAGGAAACGATGGCGATCCAGTCTGGGGAAACTAGTACTTTTATCATTTCTGTAGGGAATAATATCTGATAACACCTCCCATAATGACCTCTCAAGGTTGACTCAGCCTTCCATCCTTCTGAGGTCGGTAAAGTGAGGACCCAGATTGTTGTGGTGGGGAAAGGCAATATGCTGACTCTGTAAACTGCTTAGAAAGGGCTGTGAAGCAGTATATAAGTAACTGCTATTGCTACATTGTGCACAAGCTGCAATGATTCTGATGATAGCCCTGTGAAATTATAGCCTTAATTGCTGTTGGGAAGGGCAGATAAGGCAGAGCATGTTTGACGGACAGTGCTCATCCCAGACACAACATATGACCTCCCCTTTTCTTATTTCAAGTCCAACATTTTTGCCATGCTAGTAATTGAGTGATGTTACATAAACAGCTGCCTCACTTCTGCCTGGGATCCAAAGAACTATTCTACACTGAAAAATGTCTAAATGTCTAGTGCAGTGTTTCTCAACCGTGGCATGTTGAAGATGTGTGGACTTCAACTCCCAGAGTTCCCCAGTCAGCATAACCTGCTTCCTGTCTAACAAGAAGCACCAGTGCCTTGGTTTGCTGGCACCCTCCAGGCCAAGGCCAGTGCAGACTTGGGTGCCTTTACTCTCCCCTCCTAATCAGTGGTGGGATGCTGCTGGTTTAACAACCAGTTTGGTGAGCATGCGCTTTGTGCGAGCGCGTGCCCAAGGTGCTTCTGCGCTGCATTGAAAATGGAGCATTACTCAGCTGCTTACCTTCCAAGTCAGCAACGGTAAATAGTACAGTGAGGGGAGGCAATCAGCTGTGCCGCGCAGTTGAGACGAGCTACAAAGCAGGAAATAAAGGACAGAGTAGGGCAGGCGGGCAGGCTAGCTGATCGTCGGAACTACCAGTTTGTGCGAACGGTTCCAAACCGGCAGCATCTCACCACTGTTCCTGATGCATCGTTACTGTTATAAAAATATGAAGAGGAGTTGTGAATTACTTATTGGGTGGTTGTGAGTTCAAGGAAGATAAAGCATTTAGCCCTGTAACAAAGAGCAGCCATAAAATAATGCCCCAAATGTGACACAATCTACCTGCTTGTTAGATCAGCAAAACAGGCTGAACGAGTAGACAACAAATTATATACAGGTAGTCATTTGGCCTACGACTAAAATGGAGCTGAGAATTTCCATTGTATGTTATGGGGGTTGTAAGTCGTGGCATTCGCGTAACTGACCCCAAGCCTAGGACATTTTTGTGGCTGTTATTAAGCGAATGTCATGGTTGTTAAGTGAACTCATTGTCCCTAACCTGTGTTTTGTTGCTGGAAATTAGATATAAATTCCGGTTTCTGGCAAAAAAGAATATGTGACCAGGGGATGCTACCAACAGCAGTAAATGCAGGCTGGTTTAGCAATCGCCACTGCAGGAGGAAGCATCAAAACTTTGAATGTGGGTTATAAGTTGCTTGGGGGGGGGAGGTCTCTCATAACTTGGAATGGCCAGTCATAAGTTGAACACCACCTGTAATGGAGACTTTTCCTCTTCCATTAACCCAAAATCTATGTGTGGGAGGATTGATCCATTCTTGGGGAATTCTGGGAGTTGAAGTCCACGCATCTTCAAGCTGCCAAGGTTGCGAAACACTGGTCTAGTGAAATGTTGAATTTTAAATGATGGCAATGTAGACATAGGGACGCGGCGGCTCAGTGGCTAAGACGCTGAGCTTGTCGATCAGAAAGGCTGGCAGTTCGGTGGTTCAAATCCCTAGCACCGCGTAACGGAGTGAGGTCCTGTTACTTGTCCCAGCTTCTGCCAACCTAGCAGTTCGAAAGCAGATAAAAAATGCAAGTAGAAAAATAGGGACCACTTTGGGAAGGTAACAGCATTCTGTGCGCCTTTGGGCGTTTAGTCATGCTGGCCACATGACCATGGAGACGTCTTCGGACAGCGCTGGCTCTTCGGCTTTGTAACAGAGATGAGCACCACCCCCTAGAGCCGGAAATGACTAGCATGTATGTGTGAGGGGAACCTTTACCTAATGTAGGCCTAGCACTTTTTTTTTTTTTGGAAACCTGACATGGTTTCTCTGTTCATGACTTCCTTGGGCTACTCTTTACACCTTGAACCTCAAGGCGCTGTTTTTATTGGACTGTTTTCTTCCTTCTACATTTTTCTTCCTCCACAAATATCACATAAATATCCTTTCCAAAGAAATCACGAAAAGGTTCCCAGAGAAGCACGAACGTTTGTTTATTTAAATTGCAGTTCTTTCCACCTCTTAAGGTCATTTTTCTGCTTTTTTTATCTACATTCTTACTGGAGCAAATAAATACATAAGCAGGATGGCGTACGAACAGAAACCTGTTTGTCCCAGAGTTGTGAACGGGCTGTTTGGTGCCAGATCCAGGCTTCTCAGCAGGGACACACATGACTAGGTTAATCCTTGTTGGATGTTTGGTTGTTAAGTTTTTTTCACTGAGGCTCGTTTGTGCACATCGTGCCATGCGTGCTGCGGATCTTAAGTTGCCATATTTGCAAACAAATAAATTCAGTACAGAACCCAGGACAGGATTCTGATTGCTAAGTGGAATAACTTAATTTCGACTTAACAGGCTCGAGCTGCAGGCATGAGGATGGGGGCTGAGCTGTTTGAAATCCAAAATGCTTCATCTTGATTGAGCTGAAGCTCCCAATGGTTAATTGGGCTTCCATCCAAAAAAGTTTAAAAAGAAAAAGAAAAGAAAGAAACTAGCATAACTGGTCTATGAATGACTTTGTCCCAGGCGGTTTGACTTAGATTATAAGGTTAAGGTGTGCGGCGGAGTAGACATGAATGAAAGATTGATGTAATTTTAAGTGTCATGCATTTAAATGAATTGTATTTGGGCATTGACGGCAAATGAGAGTTACATAAAGAACCTGTTATGAATGGCAGAGTTGGGAGAATGGAAGAAGCTACAGAGAGATGTTACAGGCTTAGCCAGGAATGCCATCGGTGACACAATGGGAAGGAATGACTGTGTTTTCTTGCAATTGTACAGCCTATTTGTGTGCCCAGCTATTCTGTTGTTCAGTAAAGTCTTGAGACGGGAAGGCCTACATGCCAACGTGGTTTGATGTAGAAGGAATAGTGTTGAGCATTTGGGGTCAAGTTTTAATACACAGTTTCAGCCCATTTTTTCAGTTTGCTAAACGAGACAGTTGCTAAGTGGGTTTTACCCCATTTTACAACCTTTCTTGCCACAGCTGTTAAGTGAATCCAGTTGTTCAGTTAATGATGCGGTCATTAAGTGAATCAGGCTTCCCCGTGGTCAGAAGTTTGCAGAAGGGCCCTGGGACACTCCAATACCGTCATAAATATGAGTCAGTTGCCGAACATCTGAAATTTGATCAGGTGACTCTGGGGAAGCTTCCACTGTCATAAGTGGGACAAATGGTCATAACTCATCTTTTTTCACTGCCGTTGTAACTTTGAACATCACTAAACAAATGGTTGTAAGTCAAGGACTATCTCTGGGATGCACAGTTCGGCACCATCTCCCTCCTACCCCCAGTGTAGGTTTCCATTGTACTTTCAGAGAACGGATCGTGTAGTTTGTGTTAATCACAGTTTGTGATGTTTTAGCTGTGATGTTTTAGCCCAGTTTCTTGGGTATCTTGAAAAGAATTGGGTCAGTGGTGGATTCAAATATTTTACTATCGGTTCTGAGATGTGGCTTGGTGGGCGTGGCAGGGGAAGGATATACTGCAAAAATCTCCCATTCTCTACTCACTCGTGGGGAAAGGCTATTGCAAAATCTCCATTCCCTCCCCACCCCACTAGCCTGCTTTCCAGCTCCATTCTCCTGTGTAGGGCAACCAAAGAAGACCCAGCCGACCAGCTGGGACTCAATGGGAGGCAGAGAATAGATGGGGGCGGGGCCAGTCGGAGCGGGTATTTGCCGGTTCTCTGAACTACTCAAAATTTCTGCTACTGGTTCTCCAGAACTGGTCAGAACCTGCTGAATGCCACCTCTGGATTGTGTGGTCATTTGGATCTTGGCCCTAAGGGTTGTGGGGGGAGAGAAAACGTTGTGAAGTTTTAATGGATGTATTTCACAGCCTTGGGTGCACACTGCTCCACCCCAAGCGCACCGCTGCGCCAACAACACGAGGTTACTTTTCTTTGCTCTCCTCTGGAGATAAACTGGAGGACCCCCTTTAAAGAAAGAGTGCTGAGGGCACAAGGGAGGAAGGGAGGAACTTTTGAGATCCTCTCTTTGAAGATGGTTGGGTCATGTGCCAGCAGGCCCAGAATGGGTAGGAAAAAGCAGCCCATTTGAACTTGGTGGGAGTTTTTTGCTTTTGGCATCCAAAGCAATTTCACGCCTGATTGCTGCAATCCGTACATTACTTTGAAGTGATGGAGCGCAGTTGCTTGTGAATGCTAGGGATTGTGTAGTTAATTCTCCCTGTATGCGTATGCATGCTCCGAAGCCTTTGGTGTTTAATTTCAAGTGTTTTTGGTTTGGGTGAAGGAGCAGCTGATTGTTCTGTGTTAACATTAAGGAACAAATTATTCCCAGCATAATTCTGAATTCTTCAACCTGGTAGGGGTTGCACTTCACTTTATGGACTGGAGGTTCTGTGTCTATCTGGTAGATGGCATTCGTTTCCCTAAGGGGAGATTACGCCGCCTTCTTGCGTTTAATGTCTGTCTTAGTCCCAAATCTTTGGGGGGTTTTGGGGGGGTGGGGTGGGGGGTTTCAGGGCTCCTGCTGCAAATTGGCACTTCTGAATAGCACTGGGATAGAACCAGTTGTTCAGGAGAGTCTTAAGGGGAAATGCTGGCTAAAGGATTGCCCAACTGACGCAGAGAGGCTGCCATTGTATTTGTGGAGATGGTTGTATAAATCTATTTTAGTTTTCTTGCAAGTTGGAAGAAAGTTGTTCATATTATTATATTCATATTATTATGAAAAAACAAGAAAGTTGTGATTTGGTGTTAATGCTTTATTTTACTGCAACGGAAAAAAGTTGGAAGTCAGTGTTTCTTTTTCTTTTTTTCTTTTTCTTATCCTTCTTCACTTCTCTTCCCCCTCTTCCTCCCTCTCGTTTTCCTATTTACTTTGATATTTTGTATCTTATTTTATCGTATAACTCAACAAAAACGTTAAAGCAAGTTGGGAGTTGGCGTTGCTGAGTAAGAAAGCTTGAGAGGTGGATTTGAACTCTCTGCCTTTTTCGAAACCTGTAGTCCAGCTTTAACATGACAAATAAGAAAGAGGGAGATGAGGTGCATGGCCCCAACTTCGATGTCTGCAGGCAATAATTAGCACTTAAGACTTACACATCATTTCATAGTGCTTTTACAGCCCTCTCTAAGCAGTTTACACAGTCAGCATATTATCCCCAACAATCTGGGTCCTCATTTACTGACCTCAGAAGGATAGAAAGCTGGTCAGGATTGAACTTCTGGCAGCGGGCAGAGTCAGCCTGCAATACTGCATTTTAACCACTGAGCCGCCAGGATTCATAATTGCTAATAACATGGTACAAAAAGCTGGCAAAGTGAAAGGAAGGAGCTGCAAGCAGCCTGCAGAGTAAAATGGGTTTTTGTGAGCAGAGCAAGGGCCTATTTCAGGGGTCCCCAAAC